GCCTCTGCTGGTGCGCGCCTGCCTCTGCTGGGTCGCGCCTGCCTCTGCGTAAGCGGACTTGGGTGCTCACAGGTGGCGGGAGTCTCGTCCCGGTAAACAGCCACTTCACCCGCAGGCTGACTCTGACTCGATTAGTCCAAGAGAACCCCGACTCCTGATCTGACACCCAGTCTGCGTCTTGACCTGCTCTGTGACACGTGTGCGTATCAGTGAGACACGGCCCGCGTGTCCCCTCCTCGTCCGCTCGGGACCGTGGGCACACACACACGCGTGGTGCTGTGCTTTACAGGCTTCCCAGGCCGGGACTTGAACTGCATAGCTGGCCATGGACCCGCTGCCTTAGCCACCATGCCACGGACTGACCCTCTCCCATTTTTTTTTTTTTTTAGTTATCAGAAGGTGCATGAACTCAGAAGGGGGAATAGAGACAGAGACAGGAGGAGAACGCAGCCCCTGGCGTGGTCCGGTGGGGATTTGGGCACATGCGTCCATGCACCTGGGGTGGTCCTCAGGCCACCAGGACCAGGACTGGGATTACAGTCGGCCACGTGGGGTCCAGTTCCGTGAACCACCCAGCCACAGGGCCTGCCCAATCTTCTAATGAAGGAGGGTGCACCCGTGCATGAGAGAGACGGAGAGACGGAGAGAGAGGCTCAGCGTGCTCTCGTCACAGCACAGGCCCCTGCTCCCGGGTGACAGATGCGCACGCCCGGCATGTGTCAGGCCGCCCAGGAGCTGTGCCTTAGCGGCTGGGCCCTGGCATTTACCTGGTGGTAGCGGGTTACCTTCCTTCACGACAGTGCCGCGAAGGCCGGCCTAGACCACAGTGGCCACGGTGTCACCAGGCCTGCCGTGCAGATGGGAGAGCCGGGCCTCAGGGAACCTCACTGGGCAGCTGGCCCAGCAGGGCGTCCTCGGGCTTGGGCTGCCTCCAGACCCGCTCCCGCTGGGGGATGTGGGGTCAGACCTGACCGCCAGCTCTGGCCTTCTGCCTCCCTCGGGCCTCTGCTGATTCTGCCTGTTTGGGGACAGTGGGGGTGGCTGTCCTTGTCCTGGAAGGCCATGTTCAGAAGAGGGGCAGAGGTGACGTGAGCTGCCCTGGCCGCCTCGTTTTGTGTCTGAGGGCTGGGCCAGGCCCGACCTGAGTGGACGTGGGGGCCGTGGCCAGGCCAGGAGTGGGTGGGCGTGGGGGCCCCGTGCGATAGCAGGCCAGGCGTGGCAGGCGGTATGCTGTTCAAGCCACCAGGCTGGGATTTGAACTGTGCGGTTAGCCTGTGGCACCTGGCTCCTTAACCACCAGGCCACAACAGCCAGCCGTGTCTGTGTCTTGACATTTCCTGGCTTACCCGAAGGCCGTCTCAAGCTCCCTCACCCCCACCTGTCTGGTGTCCGCACCTGTCTCGAGCCTTGCGTTTCGCTGTCATTCAGGGCCCTTCCCCTACCACGGCAAGGACCCCACCAGGCGCTGGGCCTGTCCCTCCTCTCCCGTGGGCCGGGCCTGTCCCTCCTCTCTCGTGGGCCTGGCCTATCTCTCCTCTCCCATGGCCCGGGCCTGTCCCTCCTCTCGCTTGGGCCTCGCCTGTCCCTCCCTCCCCCTCACCAGCTCAGCACACACGTCCAGGAATTAATGATGCGTATGGACACCCGGGCTCACATGCCTGCAGCTCTTGGACTGCCACCGAGCAGGCCCGTGGGTGGGCCTGGCCCCTTGGCCTGGTCCCTTGCTTGGCGCTGGCTGGCGGCGCTCAGGAGGGCTGGCAGCAGCATGGCTGGCCCGCCCCGACCGCATCACCCCGCGGGGCAGAGCTGGGCGGGGGCTTTCCTCCCCAAGCTGCAGCCCGGGAGCCGTGGGGGCTGGCGGTGCCTGCCACGGGGCAGCTGTGGAGCCGTGGCGGGTGGCAGCACCTCCTCATGCCTGTCTGTCCTGTCCGTCCCCAGAACGTGCGCATCGACCCCACCAGCCTGTCCTTCAACATGTGGAAGGAGATCCCCGTCCCCTTCTATCTCTCTGTCTACTTCTTCGACGTCCTCAACCCCAACGAGATCCTGAAGGGCGAGAAGCCGCAGGTGCGCGAGCGCGGGCCCTATGTGTACAGGTGAGGCCGGCGGGGGGGGTCCTGGCATGGCGGGCAGGGCTGCTGGCCGGGTCCTGGGGGCATTCCGGAGCAGGCCAGGCACGGAATGGGGTGGGGGTGCCGGAAATTCATTAATTAATTAATTTATTCTTTTTTTTTTGGAGAGGTTTTTGCTATGGGGTGCGTGCGCTCGCCAGAAAGATAGAGACAGAGAGACAGAAAGCGAGAAATCACCCCCCAGGGGGGATTGCCACGCGGCAATCCCTTCTCCTCCATTCTCCTCTCGGGGATCTTGGGCACACGTGCCCGGCGTGAGTGTAAGCCACCGAGTCCAGGACTTGAACTGTGGTCAGCGACATGGGAGTCCAGCGACATAGCCATTACACTAACTGCTGGTCCCATCTTTCTTTTTTAATTGAAAAAAAAAATTGGATTTACTTAGAAGCATTCAGAATGTCAACAAAACAGCTGCAACATTTTTGCAGTTACAGAGTGGTGTTCAGTTATCAGAACAATTATTTCGTATAAGCTGCATCAGGGGCAGCTGAAGATGGACAAACTACCATCCCCGCACATAACTAATCTGTGCCGTGCACCAACAAGAACCTGCTTTAAATGTCCGTGCCAATTTCCAACCCCCATCTGTCCCAGGCAAGGTCAGTGGCCACTGAAAATACCACCAGGACAGGGCTCGCTCAAGTCACAGTCGGTAGGTGCTGACAGCACACAAAGACACTGCAGTTTAAAAACATGTCTCACACAGCCTTACATTTCAACATTCACTTCAAAAGGAGTGAGTTGTGTACAGGGGGGTTAAATGCTTTATAGACAAGGAAAAAAACCTGCGCTAGAACCAACTTACTCATCATCATCTTCGTCTTCATCCTGCATATTAATCCAGTCAAAGATATTATGACACACATTATCATCATTTCTGTGTCCATGAAATGTTTTGCTCTTTTCAGCCTTGACAACTCCCCTTTTTGCTGCATCAGGCTTTCCTTTAGCTCGGTATGCAGCAATATCCTTTCCGTATTTTCCCTTCAGCTTAGCAGCCTTCTTTTCATAGGGCTGTGTATCACCTGCAGCAGTGGGATTCCACAGCTCTCCCAGTTTCTCTGCAACATCACCAATGGATAGGCCAGGGTGTTCTTTGATTTTTGGGCGATATTCAGAACAGAACAAGAAAAAGGCCGAAGGAGGCCTCTTGCGTGCATTGGGATCCTTGAACTTCTTTTTTGTTTCCCCTTTAGGAGGGATATAGGTTTTCATTTCTCTTTCATAACAGGCCTTGTCCGCCTTTGCCATATCTTCAGACTTTCCTTTCTCTTTAGCAGACATGGTCTTCCACCTCTCTGAGCACTTCTTAGAAAACTCTGAAGGTGACTGAAGCATCTGGGTGCTTCTTGTGCTCCTCCCGGCAAGTTTGCACGAAGAATGCGTATGATGGCATTTGCCTCTCGGCGTCTTAGGCTCTCCTTTGCCCATGGTTAGCTATCTGTCCTCCGCGAGGCTCTCACTTACCCGTTGGCTCTCACTTGCCTGGCGCTGTCTCTATGGAGCTCCATGGACTGCAACGGCTCTTACTTTTTATGTAACTTTTTTGAGAGGTTTTTGCTGTAGGGCGCGTGTCCTCGACAGAGAGACAGAAAGTGAGAAATCACCCCCCAGGGGGATGGCCACGCTGCAATCCCTTCTCCTCCATTCTTGGGCATGCACGTACACGCGCCTGGTGTGAGTTCAAGCCACAGTCAGCTACATGAGAGTCCAGTGACGTAGCCATCACGCCACCTGCTGGCCCCACCTACACTCTATCTTGGGAGTCCTGACCTTCCTGCCTCCACATGACTGTCCCCGTGTTACAGTGGAGGCGAGTGGGGTCAGGGTGGGCCGACCAGGGTACCCAGGTCACATGGGGGTGCGAGGCATGGGTGTGGGACCCCAAGCCTGGCTGCCAGCACTGCTCGGGCCTCGGGCCTGGAACCTGGAACCTGGAACCTGTAACCATGGCAGGTGGAGCTGGGGGTGTCCCAATGAGGTGTGGCTGACCCTGCGGGGGCTTCCTGGGGCAGGGGCGGGCAGAGAAGTTTCCGGTGCCTGAGAGGCTCTGGAAAACTGGGATGGAAACGCAGACAAGCCAGGGTTTGGGTGGACGCCGGCCAGGGCAGTGCGTGGGCACACAGGTGCTCACTGGCTCGGTCGGTGGGTGTCTGCTGAGCACCTACTCGGGTGTCTGCTGAGCACCTACTCGGGTGTTTGCTGAGCACCTACTCGCTGTCGGCTGCTGCTCTGGGCACGGGCTCGCGGGTAGTGAGCACAGTGGGCAGAGGCTCCTGTCCCGGGGACTCGTGCTCGCACTGGGGTAGGTGGAGATGAGCGGGTGGAGCCGTGTGTGAGCTCAGGAGTGCAGCAGGGCGGGGCAGGGTGTGTGGAGGGCGTTTGTGCCCAGGTGAGGGCCGGACGGGCCAGGGAGGCAGGTGTGGTCCCCCAGCGGTGAGGGAAGGCGGCAGCCGGATTGGGAGGCGACCCTGGGGTCAGGGTGCTCCGTGAGGCGGCTCAGACCTTGGGGGCAGGCGAGGGTGAGCAGGTCAGAGGTGGGGGGGGCACAGCAGGAGGCGCAGGCGCCAGAAGGCAGTTGTGCCTGGCATCGGTGCCATCGGCCCGGGGCCGCGCCTGGCCCTCCCAGGGACCCCTGCCACGACGCTGACCTCCCTCTCCCCGCAGGGAGTTCAGACACAAGAGCAACATCACCTTCAACGACAACGACACGGTGTCCTACCTCGAGTACCGCAGCTTCCGGTTCCAGCCCGCCAAGTCCCGCGGCCTGGAGAGCGACTACATTGTCATGCCCAACATCCTGGTCCTGGTGAGCTGCCCTGCCTGCGCCCGCGAGGCTCTGGCCCGGTGCGGTCCCCACTGTCCCGGGCGAAGGCCAGTGACTGGCCAGGGTCACTTGCCCTCCCTCCCTCCCGCCCTGAGGTCCCCTGAGGTGGGGCCTGGAGCCGAGTGAGGGGTGCCCCGGGAAATGGGCTGGGGGCGGGAGTCGGGGAGTAGTGGCGTGGAGGACAGTTCGTTCTGTGTGGGGTTCCCAGGAGCACCCCAGGCTGGCTCCCTCCGAGGGCATGCAGGGCCCAGCTCGGTGGTTCTCACACGGAGGTGTCTGATTGGAGGGACCTGGGCACCCCCTAGTGGAGTCCCGCAGGGGACACGCACAGTCCCCCAGTGAGGTGCCACGGCCTGCTGGTCCCAGAATGTTCTTTTTTTTAAGAGACTGACTTTTGCTATAGGGCGCATGCACTCGCCAGAGAGACAGCAAGCGAGAAATCACCCCCTGGGGAGGGCGGCGACTCTCAATCTCGACTCCTCCATTCTCCTCTTGGGATTTTATTATTTTTTTTAAGAATTATTTATTTATTTAATTTCGTTTGTTGTCGTTTCTGATTTGACCAAACGGAGAGAGACAGAGAGAGAAAGGCAAAGTGAGGAAGCAAGCTGCCGGGTCCAGGCCTCGGC